ACGTACGTGAAATTCTCAGTGAACTGTAAAATCACTGCACAAATGCTAGTGTATGTTACAGTGGGATCCCTTGGGGCCTCAGAACCGACCATCAGAAGAAAGGCCATCCAGAGGGCATGGACTGGGTCTGGGACAAAAGTGGACTTGCTCCCACTGTGGCAGGGGTGTGGGAGGGAAGGCCATGGCTGAGCACATCTGTGTGCACATGTGCACCCATCCGGGTGTGCAACATGTTGGATCTTGAATCAATCACTCCAGGAGCATTTTCTTTGCTCTTTGACCTCAGCATTCTTTCTCCTCACCCCTCCCTCCCTCCTGCTTCCCTCCTGGCTGTTTACCCTTTTCCAGGCTCCTCTCTCACACCCCATTCATCATCAGGGGCCAGATTCTCACTCAGGGAGTTCTTTTCATCTCCTGCCCCAGGTCCCCCCACGCTGCACCCGCCTGCCATTCCCCCCTGCTTTCCCTCTAGCACATTCTTCTCCCTGTGTCAGCTTCTCTGATAATTTTCCCTTCACTTTCCCTCACAGTGGGGCTGGGGTCCTAGACTCCCGGAGCTGATAAGGCTGCGAGGGCCTCAAAAGTCTCTTCTCTCTTGCCCACTCATCGAGGGGCTGATGCCACTCCAGGTGTTTGGGGTCCCTCAGGCTGAGTACATGTGCATCTCGGCACAGACAAGCCCCTTCGTTGCACAGACTTCTGCCCAACCGCCCGCAGTCTCCCCAGGTCCCTTTTATCCAGCTCCACAGCACTTCCCCTGCTCAGTCTGTGTGAGTATGAACGTGCCTGTTAGTTAAGAGAGGCTGCCTGACAGCTCGGGATCTTTTCTGCAAGAGCTCAGAGTCTCAGACAAAGAGAGAAAAATAATAGAGACTGAAGGTGGGAAGGTACAGGGTGGGGACACAGCCTGCTTAAGAAGCTTCCTCATAAAAAGGAGTTACAGCTGTTTATTCGAAGGCTGGCTGTCGGTTCAGAAAAGCCCTGGACAGGAGGAGAGGCAGGGGAAAATAAGAAAGGGGAATTTCACCCGACATCTGGCCAGAGTCGGTATGGGAAGAGCCCCAAGAATGTGGAGCTCCAGCCGCAGGAACTGTCTTCAGCGTCGTCTCGTCCTCCTCCAATGGGCCAGCTTTCCTCTTTCCTCCCTCTCTCCTGCCAAGCGTGCCTGAATGAATCACCAAGAGCAGCAGAAGTGGCCCTTAAATTACCCTCAAGGCCATGAGAGGAGGTGGGCGATCATCTGGACAGCCTGGGGCCAAGGAGTGTGGGGAGAATGGCTAGCGGGGCCCAGCAGCACCCAGTTCCTTCCGAGAGGCCTGGGTCTTGGGATCTGGGAGCTGGATCACCACGTTCCACTGCAGGAGAATCACCCCTCACTTGGCTGAAACAGTGTTCTTACCGTCATACAGGGAAGCTGTCACTGCAAAGGAGATGATGCCCTTGTCCAGTGTGTCTCCAAAAACAGAAACAAGAGTAATTGGTGTTTATTCAAAGCTGTAGAGTTTACAAAACACTTTCACATCCATTAACTCATTGATTCTCACCACAGCCCTGTGAGGTATCCTTTTATGGCTGAGGGAACTGAGGCTCTGAAAGGTTAAATAACATGTTCAAGGTCACTGAACTAGGAAGTGGAAGAGCAGGACTGAGCCCGGGTCTGTCTCCAAAGCCCATAGTCTTTTCTCTGCACCTGCTGCCTGGCAACACACACCATAGCGAGTTTGACCTCCTTATGGAAGAGCCTGTTCTGAAACCTTCCTAAGGGAATCTCACCCCACCCCACTCTGCTCTTGATCACTTTATGTTGCCAATTGGCCGTTTATTATTAAATGCTTTTTATGTGATCTATGATATTATACGATTTGTGGCTTTGGAGTTCTCTTGCCAAGACTTTTCCTGCACAAGCTGTCTGCATTGTGCATTCTTCAAAGGCAGAGCTAGTATCTTCTCATTCTTCTCCATCCTTCTCCCCATCTCATCCACCAACCCAATAGCATTTGCTCTTTGCCCGGTGGGTTCAAGATGAACAACAGCCATGATTCTTCCCATTTTACTCCTTTCTTCAGTACCTCCAAAAGATCACTTATGACAAATCATTGAGCCAAGTGTGTTAGTTTCAACCATGTCTTAGGGCAGACTAGTAGATGAGAAAAGCAAATGAGCATCCCCACCTCCTCTCTGCCTTGCTCCCCATCATTCAGCCTGAGGCCAGTATCATCATGCTAGCCCTGCACAGGATGCTGCAGAGCACGAGGTATTGTTGCTGCCCTCAAAGCGTCTCTAATTCAATGGGAAGATAGGACATAGTCCACACAGAAAAAGAGAGCCACACTGCAATGCAGTGTGTGCTAAAAACAGCAGTTTTTAATAGACTTTGGAGAGACAGGGTTGGGGGTGGGGAGGTCCTAGAGGCTTCATAAGGCTTTGAAGGATGGACAGGGTTTGAACAGAAAGAAGACAGGGGAGAGAGGTGTTTCAGGGAGGGGGACCACAGAAGTGAAACTGCGCAAGGTGTTCTGGGGACTCAACAAATGAACCAGTTTGTTGGGAGTGGAGTCACTCTGGGAGAGGTGGGAAGGGAGGCTGGGGAGAGACAGAAGGGTCAGCTTGAGGAGGACTTGAACTTGTGTGCCTAGCAGTCCATCCTTGAGTGTATCTGGACAATAGGAGGTGTTCTGTAGGTGGACGTCACATTCTGGCCATGTGCCTGGCAAAGTTAGACAAGGAGTCTGAAGCACAAGAAGTGAAGCAGTACAAGGCACCCCTGGCAGGATATCTGTGGCTGAATTTTAGCTGCCAGTGGCTTTCGCCGGCATCCGTCTCAGCGGATGGTTTCTGTGACTGTCTTACGTGCTCCCTTTTCAGGGAAGCAGCACCAGACTTGCTGGTCAAGAGGCCCATTCTTCTGAACTTTGGGGAACCCTGACTTCTGGAAATGCTCCTTGATCTGGCCTGAATGGTCGCTGTCCCAGATGCAACGATGAAGTCCTAGAACACTTAGTGGCAGGCCATGGGAGCCATTGAGGACAGAAAGGCGGAGGGGTCTGCAAGAGGAACAGGGCGTGCTCTCACCTGGGGACTCCTCGGGGCCATTAAAATTTTTCTTCAAGAGGCGAAAGATGGGAACAGTTTCCGGGGAAAGTAAGTGGGTTCTTAGGGCCAGTCCGCTGCTTGAGAGCTCAAATGAATGCCTAGTGTTTTGTTTGGATTTTTTTCTTCCCCTCGTTTTTTTCCTCCCTTTCTCTCCCACTGCTGTGAATTGGGAGCTGTGTCATTGTTCTTTGAAAACATTACGGTTAATGGTAGCATAATATGCCTTTATGTGGAGTAACTGTAATTTATTTAACTATTTAATTGGACCCTTTCTACCCTGTGGCCTGCTGTCCTGCCCCGTTTCTACCTCAAATTTGTCCCTGGCTCTTCTGTGTACAGTAAGGATAGGATGTGAAGGCAGGAGATACATCTCCGGGCTCCTTGCAAAGGTCATTTGGAATTTCTCTGAAAGGTAACTGCGAGTAGCACACCACTTGCCACAAACCCCCGTGGACTCCCCCTTGTAACAGATAACTACAGCCCACACCACCCCCACCCCCAGCCCTGCTCCGTTATCAAAATGAGATGAGAGCCTCAAGTTTTGACCTTTAAAATAAAGTACTTCCCAGGTCTTACTTAACATGAGAGTGAGTCTTCCACAGACCAGTGATAAGAGACTTTGGTTGAAAAATAAATTTTCAATATCTAGGAATGTGGAATACTGGGGAAAGCATGGGCATCAGGAAGTTCTGCTTCCTAGCAGAATGATACCAGTCCAGTTCTTCAACCTTCCTGAGATTCCATTTTCTCATCTGTGAAATGGGGAGAATAATACCCATCTTGCAAGATAATCACAAAATTATCCATTGCATATGCCAAGAATTGAGCACAGTGTGCCGCGTAGCAGGTGGTTAATAAATAATAGTAATAGCTGCTCCTCTTTATTATTTGTGTTACAGGCAACAAATGGCAGTTGCTTTTGTTATGCTATTTATGGCCCTTAGGGTATGAGGTCTCCTAACATGACTCGGTTTAGCAAAGCCATATCCCCACTTTTATTCCCTTGCCTGCCTTTGGAAGGAGCCTGAGAATTCCTCTTCCTGTCCTTTAATCCCGTAATGCTTACCAGAACAGCAATGCCACTGCTAGGGTGGTGTGAGTAGGGTCCAGCTTAGAGTCAGGGGAGAAGTGAGGTGACCTTTATGAGCCTCCCATAGTGCAGAGGGCAGGCGCACTCCCAGGGCCTCCTGCTCCAGAAATTCTTTCTGTCCCAGGGGTGAGGTGGCCGTGGCAAGGCAGTGCCTCTCCCTAGCTGACCCCCAGAGGGGGTTGAAGAGGGCAGAGCCCACAGAAGAGAAGGGGAGGGGCGGCCGGGAAGGCAGCTGCTTGAAATTGATTGCTCTTGTAGTTTAGTTTATACCGTGGGCTCTCTCAGCGCTGCCCGGGTGGCGACCTTTAGATAATAAAGGGAATTCTGGGAGATTTCTGACAGGCCCATGACATATGGGGCAGGTCTGCAGGGTCAGGCGGTGTATCTCCCTGCTCCCGGCCCCAGGGTAATGAATCTTGTTTTGACTTTGCAAAGCCAGCCCAGCCAGTGCCCCAGAAAGGAGCTGCGCCCCCTCCCCTCCTCAACCCCTCAAATGAGTGCACGTCTTTGGATCCCTTCATAATTCAGGGAGACAACTCCAAACTTTTATAGCCTGTGAGAGGAGAGGACAAACACTGGATGTTTTGCTAAGGCCCTGGGAGAGCTGGTGTGGTTTCCAGGGCTCGATCAGAGCCCACTGGGAGACCTGGGAAGAAACCAACAGCAAAACCCTCCCTGGCGTGAAAAGGCAGTGGTCCTGGGACAGGCCGGAGGAGGAGCTAGGGTGGGGATGGAGGGAGACCATTCCCTGGGAGTCCCAAAATATCCCGTATGGTTCTTGGAGTCTGGCGAGTGACATACTGATTCTTCTGGGCAGGAGCAGAAGAGAGCAAGGGAGCCAAAAAGGAGGGGAACCACTCAGCAGGAAAACCCCAAGAGGTGAGAGATGGGCCAATCCCAATTCTAATGATCCCCCCGGGGATAAAGCTGGGAGAGGCAGAGCCAGTGAGTTCTCTGGGCCACTGTTTGCAGCTGAATGAAAGAGGAAACAAATTGTGCTGCCTTCATTCCTCACGGAGATGTTAAGAGAACTGCTCTCTAAGTGTCTTGGCCTTGCGATGGCTTGTTCACACATGGGTGCTTGTGTGTGCATACGCACACCACCATTTTCTTGAAAAGAACAATTCCTAAACCAAGATGTTAGAGTACCTTACTCCTCCCTGCTCTGTTAGTGCGCTAGGGCTGCTGTCTCAAAGTCCCACAGACTGGGGCCTTAGACAACAGCTCTGGAGGCCAAAGTCAAGGTGTGCTCAGGGTTGGTTCCTCCTGAGGGCCATGAAGGAAGGATCTGCTCCAGGCCTCTCTCCTTGGCTTGTAGACAGCCCTGTCTCTTCACATCATCTTCCTTCTGTGCCTGTCTGTCTCTGTGTCCAGATGTCTCCTTTTTATAAGGACACCAGCCTTTTGGGTTAGGGCCCACCCTAAAGACCTCATTTTAATTTAATTACCTCTGTAAATGTCCTGTCTCCAAATACATTCACCTCCAAATTCAGAGATACCAGTGGTTAGGGTTTCAACATAGGAATTTTGGGGGTACATGCTTTCACCTCTAACACCTGCCGTCCTGCCTTTCTTGCCAGGACCCAGCCCCTGCACTTGGCCCTGTCGCCCTGCGCCTGTCCCCCCTGCCGTCTGAGAGGTAGAGAGTCCATCGCTGTCACTCACTCGTGTGGGATCCAAGGGCTTTGTTCCCTCCCTTTGCCAGGGCACAGCTCCCGTTGCGCAGCCCCTCATTGCCTCACCACCTGGAACATGGGTACTTCCCTTACTGCTCATCTGGAATGTTCAGGCCTCCCCAAATAAGTTTCCTTGTCTTACTCCTTGCTTATCGGAGAGGGACCTGGTTTTTCCATCTGTGAAAAGAACTGCATATCATGACAAGTCAGGGATCTCCTTTCCCGTGGTGAGAGAAGGTGACTGGATAGACATTGTCACCAAAAGTTGTGTTGACACACCCTAGGAGGGCCACAGCAATGTCTGTCTCACCTTCTCAGGGAAGATGCCAAGAAGGCGTGGTAGGCAGAGGCCCATTTTCCTCCTCTGTCTCCCCTCACTTTCCTTCTCGCTCACTCGGGCGACGGGTAGCCACTTAGCTTCCCATAACAGCACAGAGTCTGGGGAAAAAATGACATTCGATTAATGAAGCAAACGCAGCTGGTATAGCAGTGACATCTAAATTGTTCCTTTGGTCCCGTTATTTTCTGTAGGAAATTCCCCCTCTCCCCACGCGTGCCCCCCCTTCTCTTAAATCGCGTGCATAAAATACGCTAATAACAATCTTCGGTGTCTGTGCATGAGTGACAGCTGAAATAAGAAAAAGACTAATCGTACCTCCTGCAGCCCTGTCACATGGAGATTAAATGAGTCTCTCTCCCACCCCCTCCCTGCTCGCCACCCCCTCTCCCCCTCTCTCTCATGGGCTCTTCTCAATGAGAATCATGGGCATTTGAATAATAATATTATAGACGCCATCAGGGTGACAGTGGGGAAAAAATCAGCTCAAACCCATGATTATTCCTTCAATCTAATAATTATTTAAATACCAGATAACTCCTTTCACTCTAATTGAGGCCTTTCAGCTGCCGGCATTACCCGGGGCTTTTGCCTTTGCCCTCTCCCTCACCTTGGGCTCCCCGACGTGCCTGGACTACCTCTGAGGTTGGTTTTCGACAGAGTAACGCTTGGAATGTTTGCATGTACAACCGCGCAAATGGCGTTATGACGAGTCCTTCAGGATCATTTCGCCCACAGGGGACAAGCTGGGGCCCCAGAATCATGGATTTAGACATTTTATCCTCATAGACTTTAATGCATAGAAATCTCAAACCAAAAGGAGCCCTCTGAGGTCATTGGGACCAATCCCCTGCCCCTGGGTAAACTTATTCCTAGACAGTTGTTGGGAAAATTCAATGTCAGAAAATTCCATAGTCTTCTTGGCAGTAGGCCCCATAGGATCCTCTCTAGACAGGATGTCCCACTTCATATGTCACTTTAGTCCCTTCTGCTGCATTTCTAACTCTTTGGGAAGAAGCTTCCTGTGCTTGGGCTAAATCTGAACTGTCTGTGAGGTTGTCTGTAGCTCAGAGGGATGTGGCACAGGACACGATAGCCCCCAAGTCACAATGTAGGTGCCATTCTTGGGTGTGACAACTGTGTGGGCCTGCCTGGGCCTAGAGCAGATCAGAGGGGGTCATTGTCCACAACACAGAAGGGAGCCATTCTGGCAGTGTCTCTTTCACAACCCCTGCCCCTTAATCCTCCACTTCCCTGTCAAGGCCAAGTGCAGGCTCACTTCTGCCCATCATGGGGCCACCATGATCAAAAGGCATCTTCTTTCCCCAAAACAGGGCAGCCTCGAGGCAGAACATAACTGATTCCCAGGACCCTTTTGCCTATGGTGCAGGAAGCACTAGACTTTTTGTCACAGGGTCTAGATTCTGATTGCAGCCTGTCCCCGACTCATTTTGGGTGACCTTGAACAATTTGGCTCTTTCTATGAGCTTTGCTTTTTTTCATCTTAAAAAAAAAAAGTAGGGGGCCAGCCCCCTTGCCAAGTGGTTAAAGTTCTGCACGCTCTGCTTCAGCGGCCCAGGGTTCACAGGTTTGGATCCCCGGCACAGACCTGCCCCATTCATCAGCCATGCTGTGGCAGCATCCCGCATACGAAATAGAAGAAGATTGGCACAGATGTTAGCTCAGGGCTAGTCTTCCCCAAGCAAAAAAAAATAGAGGAAGATTGGCAATGGATGTTAGTTCAGGGTGACTCTTCCTTAGCAAAAAAAAAAAAAAAAAGGTAGCAGATTAATCTTATAATCACCTTCAGCATTGGCCCTGAATTCCTGCTTTAAAGGCATCTCTAATTAGAAAGGAGAGCTGAGGAAGAGGACAGGTTTCCCTCTGCCATGGGGGAGGTAGGAGGTTGGGGTGAATCCTGGGAGCAGCTGCTACCTCCTCAGACGTCATAGCCCGCATTGCCATGCTTACCTTTTCTCTGTCACCATCTGGCTTCTCAGGACCCTGGCTGTGTGAGCCACCTAGTAGGTGCAGTCATAATAATGAGCACCTTTTGCTATTATTGTTAGGAAAAATATAGCCAAGATGGTGCTGGTGCTGGTGATGAGGGTGCAGGTGGTGGTGATGGAGGTGGTAACAGTGGTGATAGAATGCAGATAGTGGTTGTGGAGCTACAGATGGATCCAAGGGTGTGAGATCTACTCTCATGAGCTTTGACTCCATTTGGCAAAATCATATCTCGACTCTGACTCCTCTTCCTACCAGCTCCTTTTGCAATAGGGGAGGCCAAGTGAAAGCACAGAGGCATATGCGCCCAGATCTCCTGAAAAAGGCAACAGAGGGAGGAGAGAATCCTGCACTGAGCTGAACTGGAAATGCCTGATTGTCATTTCCTCCCTGCTCTGCCACTGACGCCTGCAGCAGTTGATCAGGAAGGTATTAGATGCCTTCACTGGCTGTCACCAACACCTGCCTCCTGAATCCTGATCGGGGAGATGGTGTCATCAGACCTTCCAAATAAAGTATTTAGTGACACTTGCTTCTCACAGAGGCAAGTGTGGCCTTTCCTTAGCATGGGGAGTGCTCTGAGTAAGATGTCCTGGCTCCCCGCCTTGGGTGAGCGTCCCAGAGCAGCATGTTCTGGTTTGAGACTTGGGGTAGGGGAGAGGAAAGCTGGGAGGAGAACAGAGACAAAGCAAGTTTTGGCTCTTGAGGATGCATGTGGCAAAGTGCTTCACAAACTAGGTGGAGAGGAGATGTCACAGAAAGAAAAAGGCCTTGTGATTAAGAGAAAACTCCTGAGGTTGACATTAGCAGAAAATTGGGGTTAGGAGGAAATGCTAGGTGTACAAAGTCATAGGCCTATGTTTGCTGGCTTCTACCAAATTGAGGATGCAAAGTTCATTCTGAGACAGATCATGGAATAGATGGAGGCGAAGACCTGGAAATATTGACAAATAAATTACTACTAATAAAAGCTGATGTATCTCGAACACTTAAAATGGGCCAGGCACTATTCTAAGTGCTTTATATGTATTAACCGATTTCATCATAATAATCCTATGGGGTAGAGGCCATTTTATACAGCTAGTGCAACAGCGAACAGAATGCCTAAGTACCTTGACCAAGTTTACAGAGCTATCAGCTCTGTTTGAATCTAAGCATCTAAATTCAGAGCCCATGCATTTAACCATTACACCACGCTGCCTCTCATCAAAGGTACAAAGGTGGGTGCCCTTCTGCTTCCCTCTGAACTTGGATAGGAGGCTTGATCCCTGCCAGCTGGGCCCTACTTTGGAACAGCTACCTGGTAACATCAGCCTTGGCATGGAAAGACAGAGCTATCAACTTGCTATTGAAGTCAGTTGTCCTTGTGAAAACCACACTCCCAGGGTGGAGTGCGAGCTTTCCCTGCTACCCCTGCACTCCCGGAGATCAGGCCTCCTCTTGACTCCAATGCACCAGTGCCTGCTACTCCCAGATGGGCGACCTTTGAGCCCTGTGGGGTGAATTCACTTGGCTGGTCACCAGGAGCAGTCTGTTCCAGAGTAGACGTGGATTGAGGAGTGAGAGGAAACGGCCCAGCTGTCATGGTCTTGAGAACTCCTGGCCTAACCAGCCTTAGCAGGTAGACAGAAGGACCTCAGCTGCTGTCTCAGTCACAGACTCTAGAAGCTGAAGGAAGCCAGCCTCAAGGGATCATTTCATCTGAGAGGAGAAATCTTACAAATCAGTTAATTCAAACACCCTTTATTTCAAGATCAAGAAACAGGCTCGGGAAGATGCTAGAGCAATCTGAAGCTGTATAACTCATCGATGACATAGGCAGGATTTGAATCCAGGGCTCCTGAGTCCCCCACTCTTCCTCTTGTCCTGGGGACTTCATGTCTTCTACCCACTAGGCCAGTTTTACCACTCATAGTTCAACTCTCAGGATCCTGCACCTCCAGCAGCCTCCCTGCAAGCTGCAGAGAGGCTATGCTGGGACTTGTGCAGTAGTGTAATAGAGATGATCACCTTGGATCTATCCCCTTTCCACTGATGCTTGCTTCTCAGAATGAGCCCCTTCACAGGGTCAAGGTGGGCTTGGGATCAAAGGTCTCCCCACAGTGTTCATTCCCATGGAAGGAAAGATATGAGCAAAAGAGAAGTCAGGAGCTCTGGCAGGATTCCTGAAGTGCAGTCTCCCGGGGCGGCTTCAGTGATAATAATAACTAGCATAAGCTGAGCATTCACTGCGTGCCATTCCGTGCTAAGAGGTTTCCCTGCATTATCTCATTTACTCTGATGACAACCTGAGAGGTAGATACAGCAATTATCCCCATTCTGCCAGAAAGAGAGATGAGACTTGACTTGCCCAAGGTCCCAAATTTGTTCCCCGATTCTACCTAATAACAAAAGCCACCCACTATTCAAACTGTGTCTCTGGAGCAGATCGGGCAGGGAGGTGAGATGGCTGATCTTAACCTCACCCCATGTCCTTTGGTGTTATCTTTGCTACTAAGACCTTCTTCCTCCCCCTACGGGCTAAACGTATGTGTGGCATGTATGTTATGGAGAAGGCAGGAGCATCCTGTCCACAAACTCACTCCCAGAGGGTCTCAGAGAGCTCTTTCTAAAAGACAGAACCCCAAGCGCAGCAGCGAGGTGACAATTATGATCCTCCTCATGGCTCCTCGGGGGGACACATTGCCCTGCACCTGGGGCCAAAGGAGCTTTTCTTCCCGGAGACAGGGCCATGCACAGAACGGCCTCTTGCAGTTCCCTATCCAGCTGGGGAATGTGAGGATTCTGTTATTTCCTTTCCGCAGCTCCTCTTGAGGAATTTACGTCCTGCTACCGGCCCCAGGACATAACTAAAAATAACCCCTGGTTTTCAAACCGAAAGCTCTGGCTGTGGAGAGGCTTTGCCGGTGTGCGCGTGGGGCCGGAAGGGCTGTGTCGGAGCCTCTGAGGTCAGCCTGGGCCTCATGCTGCCGTTGCCTTCCTCTTTCCAAGGAAGCCTGGGGCCTCCTGAATCACCCCAGAACACCCTGGTGGAGCCTGGTTGGAGGAGAGCAGTCATGTAGGGCCACTTCTGGCACCATGGTGCCTGTCAGGGATGCAGAGTTGAGGAGGAGGAAGGAGAATTTCAAAAGATACAGAGCAAAGACTGTGGGGCTTCCCAAAGGGGCATCAGTTCTAATTCTCACCCAGTCCAGCCAGCGTGGGGGGTGGAAGGAGACAGGACTCTCCTAAGCTGCCTTGGAGCAAATTCTTCCTCCTTTTGGCTTGGGTGTTTCCACTGCTGCTGTCTCCTGTGCCCAGAGTTCTGCCTGGACTTGTCTGAGAAGGCTGCCAGACGATCTGTCCATCTGGAGAAAAAGAGTTCTCTGCTAGACAGCTCATGGCTCCCTCCTTCTGCTTCTGCCCACTGCCACCGCTGTCCCTCCCCATACGAATCAGGAGTAGTGCTGTTAGAGGGATGGGTCAGGCTCCATTCCCCCAGCCCCTGCCCAGGAGTCTCCAGAAGCTCTCCCAGGAGGCCCACCTTGCCCCTCTGGGCAGCTTCCTAGGAATATGGAAAAGCTGTAGAGCCTGGGGGTCTGGAGGGAGGGGAAGGAGCAAAGGAGTCTGGGCAGGAGACTTGCTGGGCTTCAGGTAGGGCAGGCTGAGGCCCACGTTGACATCATGGATCCTGACAGTCCCGGGGCACCAGCAGTGGTTGGAATGAGACTGACCTTCGACTCCTCTCCCTTTGCTCCTCCCTACGTGTTCCCAAACCCAGAACTCTTGCCCAGGTAGCTGAAGCTGGACTCGGATAACTGTCTCCATTAGCAAGGAGGCGGCTCCCCCTGTGCCCACCTGCCGAAAAGCACAAGCTGAAGCAATCTCCCCAGGACCTGGCCGCCCGCTCACTGGGGAGGCAGTGGCTGGCATCCTGCTGTCCCAGGGGAGCATGGGGGGCTATCCATCCATCTCCCTGGAGCTTTTCAGGCTCCTGAATGGCACATGTGGGAATGCCAGTCCTGTTGGCCAGCACGCATTTCACTTTTCTAACAAGTTTAACAGCAAATGATCAGGGACTCTTCTTTCTGCAAAGAATGAGGCTGAGGGGCAGCAAGAGGCACTGCTATTCGGGGTGACCAGCCCTTCTTCCCTGCGGAGGACAGAGCACGAGAAAGTAAGGAAACGCAGCATTGTGAGGGGATGGAAGTCTGACATAAGGAGGAATTGTGTTTGCGTTATCAGACTCTGGGAGCAGTTGACAGGGAGAGCCTACGAGAGGGCCTGACTAACAAGCTTTTAAAGAACAGGAGAGATTTCCACTTGACTGGGAGAGGACAGATGTGACGACTGGGTAGGGAAGACTGGCTTTAGTCCGACACGGGGATCAACTGGCTAGGTGAACTTAAACAGCCTTTTAACCTCTCTGAGAGATAAAAAACGATGTCTTAAGAGGACAGAAATAGAGATGCTTTGTAAAGTGAAAAAAAGCGTTTTACAGCGTAAAGGCTGGAGACCAAAATAGATAATAGGATTCCCTGAACAGCCCGAAGAGGGAGAAAGTATGTTAAAAATAGAAAAACTGAAATACAGAGGGAAAGGACTCACAGAGCTAGCCAGAACTGGGACCCTGGGTCAAGCAATCCTATTCACACCTCCCAGGACTTAGTTTTCCTCTGACCACTCTGCCTTGTGTTTTCCAGAACCATGTAAGGGCCAAGCCAGGAAGGTGGAGTAGATGAGAGCTCAGAGGATCTGTCTCCTCGTCCTCGCCCCACTCAGAATGGAACAGAGGAGGCCCTGGCCACGGGCCGCAGAGGTTGACAGCTGGTCTGTGGTCCTGCTCTCGGTGGTCTGGGTGATGCTGGCCCCCCAGGCCGTCAGCATGCCTCAGTTCAGCACTTTCCACTCTGAGAACCGTGACTGGACCTTCAACCACTTGACTGTCCACCGAGGGACAGGGGCGGTGTACGTAGGGGCCATCAACCGGGTGTACAAACTGACGGGCAACCTGACCATCCAGGTGGCTCACAAGACCGGGCCGGAAGAGGACAACAAGTCTTGTTACCCACCCCTCATCGTGCAGCCCTGCAGCGAGGTGCTGACCCTCACCAACAACGTCAACAAGCTGCTCATCATTGACTACTCTGAGAACCGCCTGCTGGCCTGCGGGAGCCTCTACCAGGGCGTCTGCAAGCTGCTGAGGCTGGACGACCTCTTCATCCTGGTGGAGCCATCCCACAAGAAGGAGCACTACCTGTCCAGCGTCAACAAGACGGGGACGATGTATGGGGTGATCGTGCGCTCTGAGGGAGAGGATGGCAAGCTCTTCATTGGCACTGCCGTGGATGGAAAGCAAGATTACTTCCCAACTCTGTCCAGTCGGAAGCTGCCCCGTGACCCGGAGTCCTCTGCCATGCTTGACTACGAGCTACATAGTGATTTCGTCTCCTCCCTCATCAAGATCCCTTCGGACACCCTGGCCCTGGTCTCCCATTTTGACATCTTCTACATCTATGGCTTCGCCAGCGGGGGCTTCGTCTACTTCCTCACTGTCCAGCCCGAGACCCCGGAAGGCGTGGCCATCAACTCCGCTGGAGACCTCTTCTACACCTCCCGCATCGTGCGTCTCTGCAAGGATGACCCCAAGTTCCACTCCTACGTGTCCTTGCCCTTTGGCTGTACTCGGGCTGGGGTGGAATACCGCCTCCTGCAGGCTGCTTACCTCGCCAAGCCTGGGGACTCCCTGGCCCAGGCCTTCAACATCAGCAGCCAGGATGACGTGCTCTTTGCCATCTTCTCCAAAGGGCAGAAGCAATATCACCACCCGCCAGATGACTCTGCCCTCTGTGCCTTCCCCATCCGGGCCATCAACTTGCAGATCAAGGAGCGCCTGCAGTCCTGCTACCAGGGGGAGGGTAATCTGGAGCTCAACTGGCTGCTGGGGAAGGATGTCCAGTGCACCAAGGCGGTAAGGAGGGTCAACTCGCTCTACTCCTGGTCTGAGATTCGGGCTCTGACTTTCCTTCCAGAGCCCCATTGCACATGCTGCTCCAGACCACCACGGGCCTAAAATGAGAGAGGCTTCGAGGCTCACATTATGGGGAGTAACCAATAACACACATTCTGATGTGTACAGACACTTGGGTCATGTTTGTTGATCCACTGAGTCATTCCAAATATATATTTCGAGGGGCCCCCACCACACCAGGCACCGCTGGCTTCAGTGGGAACCATACAGTGAAGCTCCCTGCCCTCATGGAGCTTTGATTGGTGAGGCAAGGCAATAAATACATAAAACAGCTCTTCTGTCAAATGGTGATAATTGCCATAGAGAAAAATAAAGCAGGGAAGTGGGGAGAGGTAGTACCCAAGAGGATTGATTCATTGAGAAAGTGGCATTTGAACAAAGATTGAGGGAGGTGAGGAAATGAGCCATGAGGGTATCTGGGGAAAGCATTCCAGAGAGAGGGAGCAGCAAGTGCAGAGAATTCAGGGCATGCCTGGAGTGTGTGAGGAACGGCAGGGAGGATATCACAGTGGGCTCAGAGCATGTGGAAGAAAGGGTGGTAGGAGATGAGCCTGGTCAGAGATAACAAGGACCAGATCTTGTATATGTGGGGCCTTGTGGGCCACTGTGAGGCCAAGTCAGGGGATTGGGGTGGCAAGTGGATATGTAAGTCAGAGGAGAAGGAAGGCAGTCAAGCTTGACTAATAGATTGACAACTGGAGAAGAAGAATCAGGAGTCCGGGCAAAGGGAAAATAGGAGAGGAAGGGGAGCTCAGGATCCAGATCGGAGGACAGCAGAGATAGAAAATCAGTAGCAAGCACTGTCCTGTGAGGGGCAAGATGCTGCCATCTAAGTGGTCACCATGATCCACACATCCATCCATCCATCCATCCATCCATCCATTTATCTCCATCCATCCATCCATCCATCTACCCATCTCTCCATCCATTCATTCATTCCCTCCCTCTATCCATCCAGATTCCTCCATTCACTCATCCCTCCATCCATTTATAAGAAAATATAAGATATTCTGAGTGCCCAGCACCGTACTGGGCACTGGGAATGCAAACACAAAAAGATGTCATCACTATTCTCACGTATCTCATAATCTAGTGGGAGAAAGAGAGAGATAAAAATAGCTGGCAATGTAACGTAGTAGCTAAGAGTTCAGGCTTCAGAGACAAAGTTCAAATTCCATCTATGCTGCTTCCTGGCTTCAGAAGTAACTTAACATCTCTACGTTATCATCTGTGAAATGGGAATCATAATACCTGCCTCATGGGATGATCAGATATAATATACAATATATATAAAATATAATATGTGGCAAGATTAGCACCATGCCTGACCTGTTAGGTTTACCATTATTAGTTAACTCTTATGCCATGTGGCAAGTGCTCAGATAGATTTCTGTGCAAAGTGCTGTGGACTCTGGATCTGCAGCCTGGGGAAAAATCTGAGACCAAGGGGCCCATATGGCTGTCTTCTGAGTACCCTACATTGAATGTGCCTGCTGTTGGGACCAAAAGCCACTTCTTAAAGCAAGAAAAGAGATCACGTCCTGGCTCCACTTCTGTTTCTACAGAGCTTGGTTCCACATTGGCTTGGTGTGATAGGATAGAAGTTAAGACAATAGGCTTTGAAATCCAACAGATTTGTGTTTAAAAATCAGTTCTACCACTTAAAACTGTATGACTTTGGGCAAGTTATGTCCCTGGTCTGAGCTGTAATTTTTTCATTTTTAAAATAGAGATAATAGTACCCTCTTTTTATGGTTATTATGAGGATTAAATAGAAAATGTATGTAAAATGCTTAGCACAATACCTGGCACATAATAAGCATTCAATAAATGGCAGCTATAATTAGTAATATTAATCATCATCATAAAGAACCAGTTATTTGCTGTTATTTCACTGTTATAAAATGAGGAGGTTGAACTAGATAATTTCCAGAGTTCTTTATAGCACTGAAATTCTGTAACCTATGGCCCCAGCCAATCAGGAGAAGTGGAGAGGAAATGCAAGGGTTAACTCCCTTATGGAGTCCTGCCGGTCCCCATTGCCCAGAGGGGGCCTTGTCAGGAGGAAACTGCTGATTCCTGCCTGCTTCTGAGCCAGAGGGAAGAGGAAGCCGCCACCCTTCTCTGGCTCCAGTGGTTTGCAGAGACAAGCCCGGGCTAGTGACCAAAGAAAGACCAGCACAGGCACTGGGAGAAAGGTGACAGCAGGTAGGACCAGGACTTCAGAAAGAACAGCCCCTCACTGCTGCCCCCACCACCCTTGAGCATTACACTCTTCTGGTGCAGCCTTGACAGAGGGGTGGAAGGGTTACAACAAGAGAGGCCTCTTAAAATCATTGTAATTCAAGGAGTCCCAGACCTGGGGACCCAGAGATATTGTGGTTCCAGGGCTTAATTTTAACATGATCTCTGGACTAACATGGAACTCTCAGATAAAGGATTTGAGCTCAGCCCCCAGAAGAGGGATGAGGAAGGGAATATCACTCACTTAATAGTAGCTATGTCCTAAAGGCTATGCTGGGCCATGTAAGTGTTATCTCACTTGATCCTCAATAAGATCCTATAAAGCAAAGATTATCATCCCCATTTTACAGATGGAAAAACAAAGACCCACAAAGACTAAATAAACTGCTTACATCCATACAACTAGAAATGACAAAGCAGGGATGGTAATTCAGTTTAGCCCATATTTCTGAGTCCAAGTTCTTTCTGTTTAGCCCTGCTGCTTCTAAGGAAAGCCACACTCCACGCTCTTACCATTTGAGTGAAAGTAAAGAGGCATCAGGTGTTTGGGAATATCTGACAAGTTAGAGAAGAAAGAAAGAAATGCCAGCCAATCTGAAGATTCTAGATTCAGTATAGATGTAGAGAAATCCACAATCACCAGCAAGTTTTTTGCTTCTGTCATCATTTCTCAGAAGCTGGCTTAAGCTATGCATGTGCACAGACTCTGCAGCCTTGCCAGACCCTGGAGAAAGTGGGAAAGAAACTGAAGTCATGAAATCAAGGACTTTCAGAGCTGAAAGGAAGCTTGACGATTGTCTGGTCTAATCCTTTCACTTTACAGATGAGAAAATTCAGGCTCAGAGAGGGTACTTGACATAAGGTCACATGGCTGGATAGTGGCAGAGACAGGACTACAGTCCAGATTTCCTCAATCTTACCAGGGCACCTGCTGCCTACAGTGTAGAGATGAGAAAGAGAAGTAGAAAATGTACAAAGCAGTAGCTGATTCCTCTGACCTGCCTTTGTAGGGAGCCTGAAGTTTAAATGATTGGCTCCCATGATGTGCTGGTAAATATTAAACAAATGGCTATATGCAGGCAATGGTGGTGGGAGGTGGGGAGCCTTGATTAGAAGCATTTGTCAATTTCTATGGTGTAAATACTCCCACAATGGATGATTTTAAGCCACCAATGTGATGTCACTTTTAATGCAGAGTGCAGAGATGTACAGTCATCCCTCATGAGCTGGCTCCAGCATACTACTGCTTCATTTCCTTCCTGAGAAGCTTATCCCTTTTGCTGTGTGGGGCTCCATATTACCCAGAGTTCAAGGTTATCTTTAACCTAAAATAAGTTCCTTTTCCTGAAGTGTACACACACACACACGGGCCGCACCACCATTCCTAGCAGTAGCAGGAGCAGCAGCTCATTATAAAACACCAAGAAATCACAAGATATGAGTCCCTATTCCCGTTGGATCTGAGATGGGAATGGAAGGGAAGTCCCTGGTTTACAGAAGAATCACATGTCCTGGCTCATAAACCAGTTATTCCAAGGAAGTGAGGCTTTCAGGGAATGACTCGTCAGCCCGCTCTTCCCTGGTCGGTGTGAGGAGGGGGTTGAGGGGAACAGGTTACAGGTTTCTCCCCGATGTTTTCTATGCTTCCCACGACAGTCATTTCCTTCCACCTCTGGGATGCCTTTCCAGACCCAGAAGGACCAGCTGCCACAAGACTCAGGGCTCTTTCTTGCCCAGAGTCTACAGCTTTTGCCCACAGGATTCCATGGTGTGTAGTCACCTGGAGCATTTCAGAGGACCCATCATGGCCAGCCCCAGGATAGGCACTGTGCAGAGATACAAGCCCTCCACAGCACCTGTGCTCAGGAAGGATAGTCTTTTTTTTTTAATTTTAACTGAATGAAATCTTAGAAATAATCAATTTAGCATCCCCTTGAGCAGCCCTGAAAGAGGATGTTACTGGTCCAAGTTTACACAGCCACTTAGTGGTACAGCAGAGGCTGAAATTGAGGTCTTCTCACTTTCTGTCCAGCTATGTTTTTATATGCTCAAGGTGATCATCTTTCAAAAGTGTCCCAGTCTCTCCTGAAAGATACTCTTTATACAGGCACACCACCACTGCCTTCAAAAGCCTGGTAATAGGAAGGTCATTGCCCCCAGAATTCTCTTTTATTTATAGCTACCTGAACATTTTTGAAGACCTGTAATACAATAGGGGAAATCATCGTGCAGCTTAACAAAACTCTTTTGATGCATTATTTTATTTGCTCCTCAATAATTCTCCCAGAAAGGTGGCCAGGTAGTATGACAAATGAAGAAACTGAGGTTTATGTAGATTATGTAGATTCCCAAGTATAAGGCCCTGCTCGATATTATGATGACCCTTTTTAATCTATCCCCAGTGTAGGATGCGGTGAATAATTCAATGGCTTAAAATGCCTTATGCCCAAAGGCAGACCTTGCAGCTCAAGAAACAAACAAGAAAGCCTCTCCGGGCTGGTAGAAATCCTATAGTGTTGCCTTTAGATTGAACCTCCATTGTCTAAATAGAAAGATCACCACAGAATGGCATGGTCCACAGGGACATTAAAATGACTAGAAAATGAGTTCTAGCAATCAGCCTTACAAATTACCCTGGATCTCTTGGCAGAAAAGTGAATGGGTGACTGCAGGTGAGTGAGATGCAGGCTGCTGGTTCCTCCGTCTGGTTTCATGGGAGCCAGTGTAGGATTGGTGGGTCAGCTGGTGAGACATTTTTGTGTACATCGTGTGTTACACCCCTGAACCCCAGGTCTGTCCCTCTCGGAGGCCCGGTGTCCTAGGGCTGGCGGTCTGGCGTGGGTTAGTGTAGAATGACTCTGTCATGCCTTCGCTGCTATTCACTCCAATTTCCTCCCCTTCGCTCCAGCCTGTCCCCATCGATGACAACTTCTGTGGACTGGACATCAACCAGCCACTTGGAGGCTCGACTCCAGTGGAGGGCCTGACCCTGTACACCACCAGCCGGGACCGCATGACCTCAGTGGCCTCCTATGTTTACAACGGCTACAGCGTGGTTTTTGTGGGAACTAAGAGCGGCAAGCTGAAAAAGGTAAGAGTCTGGGAGCCCAGACGCGCCCATGCCGTTCAGCTCCTCAGCTGAGAGCCCCTTCTGGAAGGGAGCTGTTGCTCGAGACGTAAGTACAGGCAACTCTTAATTTTCTTGGGCGGGGGGAGATTAGAATAGGAGGGCTAATTTTGTGTCTTGTCTTCTAGCTGCTTCCCCCAGCCATTAGTCAGTGAGCATCTAGGGAATGCAAATTATTTCAGTATTGCCCAGACTCTAAGGAATTAAGAAGGTGCATCTGCCTAAAGGAGGAAAAGAAATCACTCTTTATCTCCAAATCACGTAGAACTGATTTTTTGACTCTCTGTATTATGAATCACCCACATCATAAATCCCTCTGCACGGCCTGCAGAGTTGAATGTCCTGGTCAGAAGTCTTTGTTGAGTTCAAAGCAGCTGGTTGAAGGAGATTATGAATCCCAATGCTGAGAAACCGGGCAAATGGCGCTGCTGCTCTCCAAGGGCATGTGGTGCCATTCTGCTTCTTCCCTCTTCCTGCAATCACAGGCACTTCCCCCCAGCAGCCCCACCCTCCAAGACCTGAGCTGCCAGGAGGAAGTAGACATCTTATCCCGTGCCTGCCCTGGGCACCTCTGCCAGCTGGAGGGCACGGGCTGTCTGAGGCTGGCAGCACCGGAGGCCTCTTGTACGGCAGGCCAAAGCCAACAGCTTGTACCTGCTTGTCTGGTGCTTAGGGTGCAGAGACGGAGCACAATCTGGTTCATTATGTGGGATTACAGCAGCCACATTCTTTCCGGTCCCAGCTAATCCCTTTTCCCAAGCTTACCCTCCTGCCACCGTGCCCCAGTCCCACCACCTGTGGAAAAGGCACATGCAAGGCCTCACTGAATCTCACCCTTTGATGTTGACATCACCCCTGTAGCTCTTTCCTCGTAATCCATTTAGAGCCTCTGGAGAAAGGTTGTTTGGGAATGTGGAAGGAGGGTGCCAGGGAGGGAGCCTGAGGAAGAATTTCCATGTTCTGCTTGTCCTGGGTTGCTGCCAGAGAAGGTGAGAAATACTGGTCTGGTTTTATGTGGAGGTGCTGAACCTTCCAGACCTCTTCTGCTTCTCATGATACCAAAGCCCTTTAACTCTTTCCTGGCTCTCTGGAGAGGTTCCTTCTTGTTCCTGTCCTGTGCCCTCTGTCTGGGTCCACAGTCTTGTGCTTTTCGGCACAGGGAAGAGAGGATGAGCGTGGTCCCTGCATTTGCTTTCCCAATGTGGGGGAGGGAAGGAGTTGCCTTATGAGATTCCACTAAGATTTAAGAGTGGCATATTCTACCAGGACAGGGTTCAACTTGGGCCCCTGTGGCTGGCTACTGCCCTGCTCTCGGCCAGAGTTACCTACACAGTTGGGTAGATTGTGCCTTGCACAGGGACATTGGGCCAAGGGATCTATAGGAGTTGAAATCCAGTCTCAGCAATCCTTGTCAAGCCATGGACCCTAGGGTATAAACATCCACCCAGAGGGGCTTCTCCTACTGCTTCATCTGCCCCTAGAGACCACCTTTTTCTGAATTGCACAAAGGCTTTCTAGGGGCCAACAGTAGCCACAGCTAGCACGTTCCCCCATCCTTCCTACATCTTCAATTGCTGTTCTGGATCATTCTGTAACTCTGTTTATCTTCTTTATTCTCTTGAAAGTTCTATTAAAGGCTGAATTTTATTTATTTTCTTCCTTTGTGGGGGCTTATTCATTTTTTTTATGAATTTTTCATGTTTATTTCCTTCTCCCTGCCTAATCCTTTCACCAAGTGTTCACACATGCGATAGGCCCCAAAACTGTTTTGAAAGATAGAACCATTCTTTAAGGAAACTTAGAGATTATCTGGCCCAATACCCTAATTATTCAGCAGGGAAACTGAGGCCCAGAGAAGAAGAATGACTTGTTCAAGCATACAGACTAGGACAAGTTGCTTCTTGCCCTGACATCCAATTTGGCACCCATTTTGCTTAAACAGCCAGGGAGCCTGAGGATGGAGGCTGAGAAGCGTCTTCTGGTCCAGGCTTGCTACAGAGTGCAGCCAGGGGCTAGTGCCTCCACTCTCTTGGGTCCTAGATCTGAGTGAAGGAATTAATGTTTGCCGAATGCATGGATGAGGGCAGAATAAAGGAAGAGAGACCCAGCCAAACTCTGAGTAACCCTTGTGCTCACCTTCCCCGTCCCGTCTCTCTGCATCTTGTGCAGCACAACCAGGGACTGCCAGGATGGAGGGGGAGCTTTCTAAGCCACACACCTGAGTTAGCCAAGTTCCCTTGGCCCTGTCGGACCCCTGGTGGACAAGTCACTGTGGAGACAAGTCATCGGGTTCAAGGACAAGGCTGGGGCATAGCTGCCCACAGCTTGTTCCAACCTGCAAGTTGGCTGCTCCTTCTCGCTCTTCACTTGGCCTTTCTCTGGCTGTTTCTATGAGCTCATAATACCCTTCCTTCTCTTCTATGCAATTCACCCTTCCTTTCCACCCACACTTCTTTGAGGCACCTGATACTCACACCCAGGCTCCGCTGGCCTCCCCTTTACCCACCCACGTGCCCCCGCCCCTCTCCAGAGAAACGGCCCATGAAGAATTTATGGAATGTCCCCAGGAAACCCTACCATGGTCCAGGCCCCATAGCTCTTTCAACACAGGAAGGAAAATAAAGAAAAAAACTAGCTAAGAGTTTGGAGAGAGGAGGGAGGCAGGGTGCGTCAGCACTACTCACTTCTTCCCTGCCTGCCTAGGCGTCTGTCAGGCTGTCCAGCCCTCATCCACTGCAGCCCGTAGGAATAGGGTGTCCCTGAGCGGGGAAGTTTAGAGGAAGCAGAGACTCACTAGAAGTGGCATGACCACAAGGTGCTGTTATGTGCTGTGTCACATACTTGCTCATACACTATTCTCTGCTAGACACATGGAGAACATCACAAAGGAGGCCACTGCTTTCTGAGCCACAAAAACACAGGAGGAACAGGCAGAATAAGGATAAGAGCTGAAAATAAAGATGTGTAACACCTGCCTAGGCTAAGGGCCAGTGCATTACAGGTGGTAAGAAGATGGGCAAGGATTCACCACAAGGGTGGAATAATTTCAGAGAAACCAGCTGCCATCATGTGATTCACTTGGAAGGGCTTATCAGGGAGGAAGATTACCAGGATTTGCGTAAGGACTGAATGAGACAGATAAACTGATGAGTTGGGGGTGAGAGAGAAGGGCATTCTAGACCTTGGGTACCACGTTGAGAAGATGCAAGGCACGGGCAGGGAGGGTCTAGAGTGCACAGAGGGGCTTGGAGGACTTGGCAAGGTGGAAGGTGGAGGTAGACAGAGCACTGTGAGGATCCAGGCTCTAAGACGACCAAGTGAGAAGGGTATTTGGATTTTTGCTGACCACAAGGTCGACATGAACCAACTGTGTGATGCAGCTTTACCAAAGTTAATTAGTCTTCACCACACAAATAGAACAATTGCCAGGTCGTGAGAAGTGGTAGCTCCACTTTAAATTGGAGATAGCATTGTAAGACAGTGTTAATCCAACTAAAGTGCGAGATAAACGGGGGCTGGAAGGATGTGGGAGTCATGCTGTGTGAAGAATATTTTTAAAAGGATGTTAACCCAAGGAAAGAAGAGTAAAGCTGGAGACAAAACAACCTTCTTTAGATAATATAATTTATGGAGCACTTATTATGGGTCAGATGTTATTCTAAGAGCTTTATATCTATTAACTCATTTCATCTTTATGTAACTCTATGAGGTAGGTGCTGTTACACCTCCATTTTATAGATGAGGAAATGGAGGCCAACAAAGGTAAAGAAATGTGTCCAAAGCTACACAGCAAGTAAGAGGCAGAGCCAGGATTTGAACCTCAGTCATCTGGTTTCACAGTCTGCATGCTGAGCCGTGGGAGATGAATTAGACTTATTTGGTGTGTCCCCAGAGGGTAGAATAGGGTCATTGGGTAGGAGTCGTGGTAAAGTAGCTTTCCACTTCGTATAAGGAAGAAGTGTCTTGCGGCCAAACTGTCCCATAATGGAAAGAGTTGACTCAAGAGGGAATGAGCTCCCAGTCAGTGGAAATATTCAAGCAGAGACTGGATGGTCACTAATGAGGGAAGCAGAGTGGGGGCTCCTACACCAGCTGCAAGACCTTTACAATGATGCCACCGCTATTTCTCTCTGACTCCTTCAGTAGGAGTGGGTGATAAGGGAGGGCAGGCTGTGGCAAAGAGGAGGAGCAGAGAGGGAGGCCAGGCACCCTGGGCGTGGGCTTTGAAGTCATGGCTGGGTTCGCACTTGCCCTCAGAGCTTAGCAGAAAGCCCCTCAGGGTCGAGGAGGAGGTGCTTGTCACAGACAAGGCAAGGCAAGGCATGGCCAAGATGATGAGGGCAGGCAGGCTTGGGGCAAGATGTAGGGGACGACAGTGATGACATTCCTCCTGGCTGAGAACAGGCTGTGGGAGTTCAGATAAGAGATGCTGGGAGCTAATACCAACTCGTGGATGGAGGGAGAGGAGTGGCAACAGGAACTGCAAACTCATCTACTAGGACTTCCCAGGTTGAAGGGAGGAGTTCAGGAGGCAATCCAGGCACAAGTCATGGGGCACAGGAGGGAAAGGGCCGAGCTGAGAAGGCAGAGGACACCAGGACATGGGAGGGCAGACTCTCAGGGTTCGGGGAAAAGTCCCTCTCGTTCTATCTCTCCATTTGCAGCTGCTCCAACTGCCACCTCAGTCCTGGCTTTACCACCCTACAGGCCTCCTCTAGCTCCTCGGCCCAGGGTCTTGCACAGCAGCAGGAATTGTGGTCTCTGTTCTCTGTCCTCACTGGAAGCCTCACCTGCTGCCCAAGGGATGCTGACATCCCCTCTACCCTATCCCGTGAAGCGCTGAGAGTAGCACCCTCCTCAGACCCCCTTCGGCATGTCATTTTGCTTCAACAGCATCTGACATGGAAGCAGCTGCTAACGTGTCCAATTCTCTTGAGAGTCACAGATCCCAAAGGACATGGACC